CGCCTATGCCCCTCGACCTCAATGGCGCAAGCCGACCCACTTGGAGATGATCTTGGAGTCAAGCTGCTGATGCCGCTTGTAGACAGGCGCTGGCTGCTTGACCAGCACATCACTGTACACTGACAGTTTCTGAGACGGAACCTGCCCGGGTTGCAGAAATCCAGCAATCAAACCTTGGAGGTTCATAGGGTATATATAAGTGGGGTTAGAAGTCCCCCACTGATCATTATAGTTATAGCTACCCTGCTTATAACCTTACGCGTAGCTACACATGAGCCTCCAAGTAGGAATACTCAAGAACTGGCACCTAGCACGTGTAGAAGCCTGCAAAAGAAAACTGCATAGAACCTTTCAGGGGACTGCTTCACCTGACACTGATGTGCCGCCGTTGCAGGGGCAAGAGAAATTCTTTACCACAGCAGGGTTGTGTGGAGTGTTTGAAGGATATCAACTTGTGCCCACACCAACCTCGCCCCAAGCCCTAAGCTAAGCCCTAGATCTCTAATATAAGGGCCTCAATAATTACATATATTATTTTGGTGGTTCCTTATTATGATTATATTATAAAGGACCCTAAAATCCTATTCCCTATTCACCCTAACCCTGAAACCCTAAATACGCCTTTATAGAATCCTTGTAATATCCCTCAAGGGAGCCTCTACAGGAACCATCAAAAGGACCCCCCCCCCCAACACCAGAAACCACGGCAAAGCCCAACGGTGGTAAGCCTCGGCCGAGGCAAGCCAGAAGGCCGTCGCGGGTTTCGGGTTTTAGGGTTTCGAGCTTGAGGTTTTACGGTTGACGGCAAGCAGGGTCAGCCTGAGTTTGGGGGAATGCAATGTTAGAAGGTTTAAGGCTCTGGAGGTAAGTTTTGGGGTTTAGGAAACCCTAAACCTTAAACTTTAAACCCTAAAATGAGTACAAGGTCTGAACCCTAGCCCCTAAACTTGAAGATTTCAGGGGTTCAGCGTTTCGGAGTTCTGGGGTGCAAACCTCAAATCCCAAAAGAATAGGTGGAGTATTGCAAAAGCACTTACTACAGGCTGTTATTCTACCTATACTTAGGCCCTAAACCCTAAACGCTAAACCCTAACCCTAAACCCTAAACCCTACTTGCTCTTGGCGGTTCGAGTTGCTGGCTTCACTGAAGAAGGTTTTGGTAGATGGGATTCGGACCTGGGCCGCTTCGAAGGAATTCGATTGAAGGGACGAATATAGGGTTTAGGGTTGAGGGGCCTACACAGTTGCCTGTACTATTTTGGGGGGGTGCCTTATTATATTTATAGTATAAGATACCCCCAAACCCTATTCTAATTATTAAGGCCCCTATATTGGAGGGCTTTCGGGTTAGGGCTCCTGCAAGGGCTGTATAAGGGTACTAGAGGGTCTAAGGTTTTTAAGGTATGGGCTTGAGGTTTCAGGGCTTACAGTGTTGGGATGTGGACTTCGGGGGTTCGGTGGCTTCGTGTGTCCTTCTAGGTTCATGTTTAGGGTTTAGGGTTCAGGGTGGTGGAGGATGGTACCCGAAGTCAAATGGTATAGTATAGGGTTTAGGGTTTAGCTTTGGCCCCACAGTTCCCGGAAAGGGACTCAGTGATTACTTTACGGCCAAAGTATATACAGTTTAAGTACATGCACCCTTGCGGGTAAGTTTGTTTGTGGGCGCCGCAGTATCCGTGAGGGCGTCTGTCTCGAACTGCTGGTAGACAAAGATTTAAGGTTTAAGGTTTAGGGTTTAGATGGGGACAAAACCCTAAACCCCTAAAAAACACCGGACTAATACCAATGAACATGAACATGGCAGTGCTAGTTGCCCAGGACATACATAGAGAGAGAGATAGACAGAAAGGAGGGGTGTTTTTACAAATGTATATCACCAGTTCATTTCTGCATTAACTTATGCATTCATGCATTCATTCATTCATTCATGTATTCATGCATTCATGTATTCATTCACTCATTCATGTCCTTCACTCGCTCGTTGATGCATTCATGCACGCATGCATTAATTCGTTCGTTCTTCTGGTTTTTCACGATTTGCTTAACGATTCAGATAATTCAGATACCTGTTTAGGGTTTTCTGGTTTTATTTGCACACAGAGCATCCTCACAAGCAAGAAAGATTTACCCGGACCCACTAGCTGACGCTCCTACTCGGAGCTTCATGGGTAGTTATAAGTTGGTAATAATTGTAGCTACCCTACTTATAGCTCCACTTGAAGCTATCCATGAACCCCTAAACCCGAAGCCCCTAAATCCCTAAACACGAAACCCCTACACCCCAAACCTTAAACCCCTAAACCCTAAACCCCTCAACCCCAAACCCTAAACCCGTAAACCCCAAGCCCCTAAACCTAAACCCCTAAATCACGAACCCTAAACCCTAAATCCCCAAGCCCTTAAACCCTAAACGCTAAATCCCTAAACCCAAACCATGAACCTCCGACTAGGAAGATTACTTGGGAGCTCCAGGTTCGAGCAGTTGACGTAGAGCACAAGAAAACAAGAAAGCACGAGCCCTTGTGGCCACTGACGCAGGGTTCAGGGATGTTTAGGGTTTGAGGCAGATTCTGAAGGCTACAGGAAGCTATGCCTTGAAATCATCTCAGCAACACTCCCTTTTCTTCTCCTTTCAGCCAAAGAGCTGCACAAGATGAGCTCAAACATGAGCATCCATGGCTTATGGCGTGAGTTGGAGACCGCATCAGTTTACAATGTCACTGCCTCCGAAGAGCCAAACTGTTGGTCCGTGACCCTTTTGGATTTTCCGGCAACGAACCTGGGTTCTTGCTTAGAGCTAAACTACCATAGCAAAAAAGCATGCTATTTGCCATAGATCTGTGGTAGCTTAAACTAAGTTCCTTACAAAGCACCCGGGAATCTGTGCGATTATGGCACCTTACAGCTGGGTCCCTGAACCCCTAAACCCTAAAGTTCTAAACCCCTAAACTCTAAACCCTAAGAACCCAGGAACCGGCGAGTGTTCGAGATCCGGGAGACCGGCCAAGGAAAGCTTCTTTCAGCTGTGTTCCCTGGTCCCGACGATGAAGAGCCGTACAGGCTCGTGCCGCTTAGCTTTAAAGGTTTCCTTTAATGTAGGGATCTTAATGATTCGAATAGGGTCTTGGGGGACATTATACTATAGTTATAATAAGGAATCCCCCAACAAGTAAAAAGGTAATTGTTTAGGCGCCTACACGAACTAAGCGTTTTTGTGGGGTTCCTTCAAGGGTTGTTTCGGAACGCGTGTGATCAAAGGAAGCCCTCGAAACGAACCCCACGATGCCCTACAAGGGTTTAGGGTTTAGGGTTTAGGGTTTAGGGTTTAGGGAAGCCCCCAAAAACCCTCCCCCCCAAGGCTAAACCCCAAAGCCTCCAAACCCCAAATCCTAAACTCATGAACCGTACCTTAAATCCTAAACCGTGAATCCTAATTAAACCCTAAACCCTAAACCCAATGTTGAACCATAACCTAAACCCTGAAGCAGAAAGACTATAAACCCACTGCCAAACCCCCTAAACCCCTGAGTCGAAGGATGGACAACAG